CCTTGAACAGATGTTTTCAAAGCTGAGAACTCAGCTCCTGTCTCAACACGCTTCCAACCACATCCAGCTCTGTGGAACACTGTTATTGAGCACTGGGCTAGTAACAAGGTATAAAATACCTACCCAGAGGGTATTAACTTATTAATTATTAAAAGTTTAATCTCCTAGTTGTACTCAAATCCACAGGTGGAAAGATGTCTAAGGAAAAGAAGGAATGTAACTAAGCATGATACTTTTGCACTACACTATGCCGATTATGCAATTTAGGTAAAACCAAAAAGATGATAAATTATTATAGCTTCTGTAAGCCTTTGCTTTTAGGTCTTCAGCCTCTTAAATTTATTCTTTCTCATCTAGATATTCCTCAAGGGTTTTCTATATGTTACTAGTAATTATGAGTCAAGGGACAAACAGATTGCAGTGGTCACAATAAGGTTGACTAGAGGACAACCTTCTCCCTCCATGGTAATGAAGAACCCAAAACCTCTGAGTTATGGCTATCCCAGACATATATATGTATATATATTTATATTTATAGACATACACATACGTACACACACCTCTACATATTTTTTTCTGAACAATGTTGTCTGAAAAACTTCTGGTCTATTCAGTATTTGAATGTCCAATTTTCCTCACAAAGTCACATTAGCTGTACTTTTACAAGCTTGGCTTAAAGCCTTTTATTTGCTCTTTATCTTTCCAACCACTCTTGGCTTCTTTAGACTTTTTCCTCTGACTTAATTGGTATTTGTACTGGTCCTCCTAGCATTGACAAATTCCATCTGCAAATCAGTAATGATTTTATGTTTTTTAGATCACTCTTGGAAATGTCTAATGCCATCAGGCCTCTTGCAGAATACCTCTGAAAACACAGCTGTTTCATGATTATTTCCTTTGATAACTATTTTTGAGGTCTATTGTTATCCAGGTCTTAATCCATTAGTTCATTCTTTACTAGAGAGTCATAGGGAGACTTTTGCAATCAGAACAACATCAGAAGAGCATCTATTGTGAAGAAGTTTAAACATGGAAGGTATTAATATTTACTCTTTTCAACCACATTTTTTTCTCTGAAAAATAAAACAAGTGCAAATAATTAGCTGGAAAATAAAGGACCAGTGCCTTCCCAGTCCTACACTTAAAATCCAGACCATGGCTGTCAAATACCAGCCAGGGAATTCAGTTCTTCCAGTTCCCCTTTTGTGTAGTGGTTCTTAACTATCAGGAGAGTCAGGCTTTAGAAGTCCCTTAACTTACAGCCCAGATTTATTCAACAGGCACACAGCTTTTAAGAATACTTATTTTTTCCCTAGAACTTCAATGAGTGTTCACATGCATAAGACAAAATGCAGCCTGTTTTTTTTCCAAATGGGAATCACACCAGGCTCGTGTGACACCTATTTTTTTAGTCAGCTGACTTATTGTGTAAACAGAAGAGCCTTAAAGAAAGCAAATTAAAAGAGCTACCAGTACTTGAAATACTTCCCACCACTCCTTCTTGTAAGTGCATTCTCCAGCCAAGTTCCAACCCAAAAGAAATATATTCCTTGAAGTTCTTGCTGCAGGCTCTTGTAAGTGGGACAATCTCCATTCTAGGATGCAGATCAATCTGCTCTCTTGAGGGGGCCACAGGAACTCGTAAGTTTGCTTCTGTCTGGGATGAGCAATTTCCTTTTTGATGCATTCATTTTGTTATCCATTTTGACAATGTTACCCATTTCTACAATATTCTTCTGAAAGTTACTTTGATAAGTTTTATTCTCTACAAAATCAAAAGAATATAATCAATATAGCTATTAGAACTTGGTTGCTGAGGAGATCTATCCAGTAATTTATACAAAACTGATATCAAACTGAATTGGCAATAGCTCTCCAGAATACCCACCATCATACTTCTGGGATTTTGGGTGAACAATAGAATTCTTCCCATTGCCAGGGATATCCATAGTGTTCCAGCTTGCTGAAAATGAACATCACTGTGTATTGATCTTCTCAGTAAGTATTAGGCACATTTCATTTCAAATTGTTGTTAAACTTTATTGACCCCAAAATATTAATCTACTAAACAAACTACTTCCATGAACATCCATTAAATATTCCTTCATATCAGAATTCATTTCCTCCCCTCCCCCCAAATTTGGAAAAAATATTTAACCAACGCTTTTCTGGTTTTGTCCTGCATCGTCATTAATATCTTGCCCTGTCCACCTCCATAATGATCTTGTAATAGATCTATACACATTATTTTGTTCCTAAGGCATACTAAATGCCTCTGAATTGTGCTTGGCCCTGATAAATTTAGAATTTCCCCTGACATCTCTACTTTCTCTAAATAATCTTCCCCAATTCAGAGTCTATGTTTTCCATCAGATGTTCTCCACTTCCTCTTTCTCCACTTCCTTTTCATTTACTTGTTTGAACTTCTATTTGCTGCCTTCACTGCCTGAATGAACAAATCAAAGTAATCTTCATTCTTGGTTTTGATGTGCTGCTCAACATGTCTTCTTTAAATTTGTGATTTTTCCATTCACGTTCTTTTACTTTTTTTTTTCCCCCATCAGATTTTGCTTTATTACTGTTTCATGCTGGAACGCTCTATAGAAAACAGTCATCAGACAGCTATTAATTAATCTCTGTGTATATAGAGACCTCCAAATCAGAGTTACTACATGAGTACCTTTTATGTTAAAATAGATAAATTTTATAATGTTTATTTCTTTTCACTGCTGTCTACATGAGATCAGTGTCATGCTTTTGCCAGGCTGAAGCATACCCATGTATCTTCTAGTAACAGGTATTTTTTTGGTTGTTATGCTTACTGCCCAAGAAAGTATTCAGTGACCAATGAATTAACCTGTTGCTATATAACATCCCAAACAGAATTTCTTTCTTGGCCATGTTAGCATATTGATCCAAATTTCAAAGCAGAGCTGCCAGTATCAGTATTTAAAAACAAGCTTCCTGAAACTGAAGAGTAATGTTCCAAAGGCATTTATTACAGTCCCTGTGGACATAGCTCACAGGAAACAGGTGTCTTACAGAAACACTTCCTAACAATTCCTTTCTGATGAAAAGACATGCCCTTGGTGTGCATTTGTGCCTCTTTTCAAGGTGGAACCTTCCTACTACCTGATAGATACCACCTGTCCCAGACTGCTCCGTGCTGAGCCCACTGACTGCTGCCTCTGGTAAAGATACTGCGAAGATACACTCTCAGAAACAGTGTGGTGGTTTCTTTCCCCACACAGATGAAATGCAATTCCTTGCTATTTATTGCACAAATTCCCTATAGGGTCTTGCAAGACTTGCACACTCTGTGGGTTCATTATAGAACCATCATTGCCTCATCTGCAATTGGCTTGAGCACTGTCAGTTTCCTTTAGTTTCCTTCTGTCTCTTTAAAATTCCACTTTCTAAAAGAAGGCATACTTGGTCGTTTTTCCTAGATCAGTTCTCATTATCCAAGTTTCTTCCCTGTGATTCCTCACCCACTAGAAAAGACATCTCTGTTCAAGCATTATATTTCATTTTTGGAATGAAACTTTTAAAATACTGGTTTCAAAGCTATTCTTATCTCCCTCCTCAACAGAGGCAAATTATCTCCAAATATTTCCAGCTTCACTCATGACTGCATAAACTAATGAGCTAACCTTCTCCTTCTGCCAGTCTTTGCTTTAAATTTTGATGTACGTCAGACTGAGAAAATGCTTCTTCCCCTCAAATGCCATTTATTACATTCTATGAAGATAAAACGCTGGAAAGGTCTAGTTTACCATTTTGTTTATTCTGGGTGGAAAAAAGAGAACACACTTTGTTTCCCCGTTGTCATAACGATGATAAATGAGAGACTTCCACCTGGTACTGGACAAGAAACTATCTGCCCAAATATTTTCCCTGTTTACTGCCTCTTGAGTGTTTGTCCGAGTTCCTGCTTTGTGTTTGAAAGCCCCGCACAGAGCGCAGTGCTGTCAGCAGCACGGAAAGACGGACCGTGTTGCAGAAGGCGCTGTAAACACAGGGTAAGGCACCCGGAGAGAAAAAAGCTGATACTAAACTAGGAAATGTTTCTGCCAAACGTTGTGACTAGTGCTGCTACGTGCACCGTGTCAGCTGATGATAAAAGGCAAAGCCAAGTACAAGACATGTATCTTGTAGAAAAATCACGGTGCAATAAGCATCTGCGGCTATTGCCGGGCCCCTGCCCCGCTCCTCAGGACCGCAGTTAAGGCCAGAGGGCTGCCGGGCTGCCGGCTGGGGAATCCTCCTCTTCCGAGCTCAGGCACCGAGAGCCCCTCTCCCCCTGCTCCGCTTCCATGCCCGGAGCTATTGTTTCCCACCGGGGTCTCCTGGCAGCCGACACTTGCACCGAGTTTTTGCCCTGCCCTCCCCGCCCCCTTCGCCCTTGGTTCGCGGTGCCGGCCCCGGGCACAGCGCGGCCGGCAGCCGGGACTCCCCGCCGGCTCCTGCCGGCCGCGGCGAGGGGATCCCTCGCTCCGACGCCGACAAACTTCAGGCAGCCGCCGGCTCCGAGCCCCCGCTCCCGCCCGCCCCGCTGCACCGCCCGGGGACCGCCGGCCCGCGGCCACCGCCGGCTCCCCCCGAGCAGCCGCGGCCCCCCGCCCGGGCTCCCCAGTCACAACTCGGCATTGTCCCTTCAGGAGCGACCGGGGAGTCCAGGGGCTGGAAGATGATGTCAGCCGGGGGCGGACTGCGGCAAGGCTGCGCCCACCCCGGCGAGCCCCCGCCGCGGAGCCCGCTCCCACCGCCGGCAGCGCTCCGCGGGTGCGGAGGGAGGGACGCGCCGCCCGGAGATGCCGCAGCCGCAGCTCCCGCCTGACTGGCACATCCCGAAGGAGCTCCTCATGAATATACACAGACTCCCCCGAGCGCCGGCCGCGGGATGCCGCCGCCACCCTGGGGGCTCCCTGCAGAGCCCCGCGCCCCTGGCCGGGGATCAGGGCTGCTTTCGGAGAGCGGCGGTTCGCTTCTGTCCTTACCCTTTGGCTCGTCCATCAGTGCCGGTGCTCGCTCCCTCCTCCCGCGCTCCCCCCTCCTTCCTCTCTCAGCCTCTGCTGGCTCCGAGCTGCCTTAGTGAGAGGTGCTCACTAAACGGGCGCTTTAGTGGTCGTTAGCTGTGGAGGGGAGGGGTTAAACTCTACATGACTTAATCCTTGCAATTTGCAGACTGACCTCCTGTCTCACTCGGAGCACGGATCGCCTCAGAGTTGCCACGTTACCAGCGCCTGGGACTTCTCCACCGGGCCGGAGGGTCCCGCACGGCCGGGGCAGCGGTGCGTGCCCGGGGCTACCCGAGGGAACCAGGGCACTGGCGCAGGACTGCATCCCTGGCTCGGGGGGTGCAGAAGGACATCGTGGCTACAGAGAGAAACAATTTTGTTAGGGTTGGGGTTTTTTTTTGTGATTTTTGATTTTTTTTCCTAAGTCGCACGAGACTGAGAAGATACGCTCCATGCCAGCGAGGTACACGAAAGGAAGTGTCCAGAGAAGAGATGATCTTCCTTGTTTCTAGATCTGAGCTCCGGCACACAGGAAAAAACTCAACCAAATCATGAAAGGAGACAAAGTTGCAAAAACTGCTGATAAGTCATTTCCTTCACCTACCTGTCCCACAGAGTGAACTTACACCTCTGGCTGCATCTCCTGGGGAACTTTGTGAAAGACACAATTTAGTTAATTGCTGTGAACAATTTTGGACTTCTTGCCTGGAAGGCCTGAAGGGATCCCACTCTCCACCACTTTTTATCCCTGACTCACCACAAATAAGAAATACAGGGTAGTGCTGCAGGAGTCTCGGCAACTTTTCTCCATAGCTTATGACATTCAGTCCCATTCCAGGAACCACAAGTGCCTCCACACTACTGCCTACAGAGCTGTCAGCCTCCCACTGGAAAGGAAGTAGTGAACCACCCTGGCTCTTTCACTTCCTTTTCAGAGGAGTAGACACCAGCTTCTCAGCATCTTCCCTGCTGGTAACCCAGGGGGAGAAGTCACTGGAGCAGCAGCCACCACATCCTGCAGCCAGCTGCTCTGCCCTGCCTGTGCCAGAACCTGCTCCCCTCTCAGAGCTGCCACTTTTACTTTCTCTCTGTGCCTAGACACCATCCAGCTCTGCACCTACCATCAGGTTCCAGAGTTCTTGCCTCTAGGAGAGACAGGAAAAGCAGGATCCTGATGCTAGGACCTGGAGAATGACTCCCGGACATGGATCATCCAAATTGCTTTCTGCAGCCTATCACAAACAATGATCAGTTCCTTCTCATTCACAAACAAACATTGACCTGTATTATTATTGAGCCTGTATTACTCCAACTGGTAAGACAACACTCCCATTTACAATCTTCATGGGAACAGGAAAGCAGGGAAATAAAACAATATAGGTGACCTTATCACTCTCTACAACTCCCTGAGAGGACGTTGCAGTCAATGGGAGTCAGTCTCCTTTTCCAGACAGCAACTGACAGAACGAGAGGACACAATTTAAGCTGTGCCAAGGGAAATACAGGTTGGATATTAGGAAAAAGGTTTTCACTGAAAGAGTGATGAAGTACTGGAATGGACTGCCTGGGGAGGTGGTGGAGTCACCATCCCTGGATGTGTTTAAAAAAAGATTGGATATGGCACTTGGTGCCATGGTTTAGTTGAGGTGTTAGGGTTGGTTGGACTCGATGATTATAAAGGTCTCTCTCAAGCTAGTGATTCTGTGATAATTTAGGTTTTAGTGATTAGATTCTTTGTGAATTACTATCGGTGTTGGTTCAAAAGATCAAGGAAGAGTGTTTCATGAAATTAAGGTAGACACTGTGTGTTTGTCATCTTAATGAGAAAAATCGGCCTGGGAAGTGCAAGAGAGAACTGATCTTACTTCCAGTGATTAGACAGCAACATATTTAGATGGTTTAGAATGGCAGAAGTAATTTTGTTGGTCACCTTGAACATCAGTTTTTTAAAAAATAGGAGTGTAGTTGACTCAATGATTAGTTAAGAAATTCACATTTAAAACGATTCACTATAATAAATATCAACTGCACAGATATATCAGCAAGAAATACTTAAAAAAACCTCCAAAAACTTGGAAAAAGTATGATTCCTTATGTACCAGCTTACATACTGACTTCCCTAAAGAATACTTGCTTGTAGAGTATCATGACAGGAAATAAACCAAATATATACAAAAATGCCACTCATTGAATAAATTAGCTCAACTGAACAGTATTTTTTAAAAATAGTTGGAATTTAGGACTGATTTTTCAAGTGCTGTGTTAGACTCACTGTCTCTATGAGCAGAAATTCAACAAAGTCAGCTGACCTCACCTGTGAGCTGAGAAGTCCAAATTTAACAAGTGGAAAATACGTACAAGCTTCCCTCAGAGAAAAATAGATATGATTTCACACCACGTTGAACGCCTTTTAGGATGTCCAGAGCCATGTATTTCAAGTCCTTTGAATGTACCTGACAAACCACAATAAGCTTTTTTCTACCAATCTGCCAGTGACAGGTTTTTGTTTATTTTTTTTTCTTTAGAAAGTTCACTTTCAAACTGAGACACATGAAACTTCTATGGGGAAGAGCAATGCATTCTCAGTCAGTGACCATGAAACACAAAGAATGTTTTCACACAAGAGGAAGTTGTTACCTGGAACATGAAGGCCCTGTGGGGAAGAATTGCTGTGAACAATGATGGTCTTCTACACCTAAAAACATCCAGGTCATTCACAGAGCTGCAGGGAACAGATTTCTGTGTTGAGAATGATCTACTTTAACTGATGGACTGATGCACTTTTGAGTAGTATTCCACAACTGCAAGATCAGGGAATGGTGGCATTACACACTATTCTGCAGCTGTTCAGTTTAGGTGTAAGAGACAGTGATGAAACACTTTCCCCGTCCTCTGTCACAGCCTAAAGGGACCAGTGGACTTTTTCGCCTCATGTGGCATGAGATGCAGAATTCCCCTTCCACAGAGGGTCAGATCCACATTTGCTAGAGCAGTTTGGTTCTGTCTGCTGATCCTCCTGCCTTCGGGGAAACTTCTGCCTGAAATACACAAACCAGCAAAAGGCAGATTCTGTGTCCCAGTCATTTCCATAAGAAAACAAAGTGAGGAAAAAAGAGAGCAGCCCCAGAGGCTGTAGGCTGGCATTTGTACTCAGATAAGGCTCCAGACAGCTGAGGAGGAAACTTGAAGCACAAATAAAAAGAGGAAACCAGAGAACTCAGGATGTAGTTTCCACACATCTTGAGCAGGGGGTAAGAATAGCAAAAACCCCAGAGTGCCACTTTTCTACTCCTAGGACAAAACTGAGCATCCTGAACAAAGCTGGAAGAACAAAATAAATCTTAAATATCCATATTCTTTCTAGCCACATTAAGAACTTATTTACAGTCATTTTGCTCTAAATTTACACAACTTGTGTGTGTATTGGTTTGTGGCTAAAATTATGCAACTTCCTAGATCTCTAGAATTTGCTATTTTGCAGATGAGCTATGCTGACTTTGGGACTCAGGAAAGGAGCAAGAGGGACTGAACACTAGCACTTCAGCTTCATTTCCAGAAACCAGGAGATGGGATTGAGATGATGATACTGGAATCCAGAACCTCTCGTCTTTGTGATGGGTAAAAGAAACATCCATAGGCAAAGAGAGTCAGGGACCTTGAAAACAAACCTATAGGCATTAGATGGACAAGTGGATTGTTCTCACAGAAAGAATTGGTATGAAGGAATCTGAAATATTTTAAATGAAAGCAGGCCATCCCATCACCAAGCTCAACAATACTGAAGCTTGTGTTTGCTTAGGGGCCTAAGTCTTAGAGTCTGTGTGTTTAGGTTACAATTTATCATTCCATGTGGTTAAGCTACAGGGGGGAGAGGCAGCTTCAAGAAGGGTAAACACTGACGGATGGGCTGAGCAGTGCTTGGGCTTTCCCAGGCACACAGTGCCAGTGTGCTGGCTCATGTCCCCTGTGAACAGTGGTATAACAGCTCATGTCCCCTGTGAACAGTGGTATAACAGCTCATGTCACCTGTGAACAGTGGTATAACAGCTCATGTCACCTGTGAACAGTGGTATAACAGATCATGTCACCTGTGAACAGTGGTATAACAGATCATGTCCCCTGTGAACAGTGGTGTAACAGATCATGTCACCTGTGAACAGTGGTATAACAGCTCATGTCCCCTGTGAACAGTGGTATAACAGATCATGTCCCCTGTGAACAGTGGTATAACAGCTCGTGTCACTGCTGAGCAGCATCAGCCCTGGGAAAAGGGACAGTAAAGGTGCACAGGCCTCACGCCCAGCGTCTCTAAAACCATAAATGACAAAGGTCCCCAGAAAACCAGTGAACGTGTTAAACTGCTGGGACCAGAGAATGTTCTGCAAAGGGACAGTAATCCAAGAGATTAGGACAACTTCTTTCTGGAAAGAAAGGCAGAGAAGAGGGGCCAGGCATTAAAAAAAAGACAGATAACCAAAACCATTCCTGGTGCCAGATATTTTTTTTTTTCTTTTTTTTTTACAGCTTCCAGCTCCTTGGCCCACTCATCCCACATTGCAACCACCTCAGACTTGACAGTTTTCACAACACAGTAGGCCAAGTCCTCCCCACATCTCCGGGTTCCTCTAAATAGTTGAAGTTCAAATGCTTAATTTAGATTCTCCAAACACTTCCTTTGTGTAAAGCAAACCTCTTGGATGACTCCTGAGGAAACAGACAAACAAGCAATGAGCTATACAGGATCTCAGTGCACTGAACATCACTTTTGAAGAATGCCATTCTTGGGAAAGAAAAAGAATCTTCTTCTGGTGTTTAGGTAAAAAGACGAGATGACCTTCAGCTTCATCTTGCTGCAAACAAGTATTGCTCTTTAGCCTTAAACTTATGAAATGCACTGTCTATAAAAAGCATTTAAGTTGCTTTCAATCATTTTGCTTCCTTCTCTTGATTTAAATATTTTTAATTGTCCTTTCAGAGAGAGTCCCTATGCTGTCTTTATACCACTATTCACAGGCATT